AAATTAACGAATAATGTTTTTTTCCAGTAAAAGAAACTTGCTAGTCTGCCACCCTGTGGAAGTCACACACGAATTCTAAATCTGATAAACATGTAAATCACAAATTTTTACAATGCTTCGACCAGTATCGATAAAAGGTAGTTGCATAAGACGAATGATACAGTGACTACGGACAATTGTTAAATTTGACAAAAATCATAATCTCGCGCCATAAATCCAGCGAGCACGATTCTGAAGAGCTTTATCTTGGATGACTTTGCTTATGAAAAGAAAAGAACTGCTTTGATCGAAGTCTAAACTTGTTGTAAGTACTAGCTAAAAGTATCTTGTATCTCTAAATATTTCTTGAGATAATGAGCTTCTAAGACTATATTTTTCTTTCAGAAGCTACGAGAAAATGAAGCTTGCAGGTAAATTCTAAAGTAGCTATTCTTGGAATAAGAGTACGGATGATTGAAGCGAACTTCGGAGGTTCGTCGTATTTTACTTTTTGCATCGATATTTATCGTTCTTAAAGTCTAACTTTTTAAAGACTAATTGTCTTCGAAACATACATAATTCACTAAAACGATAGTTTATTCCGACTTGAAGAACACTATGTGAAGAATGGCATTGAAAAATATATTTACTGATTACGATAATAAACACTAAATAATAGTCGTTTCATAATTATATTTATGTCTCCTAAAGTTAATCTAAATTTATTTTTAATACAGGACGAAATATCAATCAAGCTTATTATTCTCAAATTTATATATCGTTTCTGATATCTTGATTGAAAAATTAAGGCGAAGACGAGTATTTTTCGTTCTATTGAAGATAAAATGAAATTGAACATTATTGAATTTAAGAAATAAGTATCACACAATGTACCCAATATCTCAAGTTGTCTTTTAAATTGTATACAAAAAAATAAGTAAACTGTATATTTAATTAATTAGACAGATATTTCCAAAAAAAAAGAGGCAAACAATTACCAATATATCACACATAGATATACAAAAATAAATAATTCATATTTGTCAAATATCTTTCAATTCAAAAACATATTTCCATCTTAGGAAACAGTTATTTTTACTTATTTGACAAGTTAGTAATCGCAAAAGAATTTTGTCAGCCTTGATTACAACAAAGATTATCGTGAACAGATTAAGTTGGATATAGAATTTTCCAATCTTCCGATAAATACTTTATATCTAAATTATGCTACCCCCTGGAAACCAAACAACTTGAATGTAATCGCGTACAACCGGTTAGAGATAAATCCTCGGCGAATGTTCAAGATCTCATTCCCGCGAGGCGGGAATAATATTCAGAAAAAACTAGGGGTTAATATTGGAGCAATTAAAAGGGCTCTGGTAATTCGCGTGACTCCGCGTTAAAAAAAAATTTTTTTTCTTTCCCTGCTATTTTTAGTGCGACGCCCAGTGTCGTGCGACCAGCATCTCCTCGCCTGGTGCATCGAACCTCGCGATCGGTTCCAAGATTGAGATAAGCGGCTTGCGAAGAAATAAGTAGTTTAAGCCTGTTCGCGTGGCCGGAGATTGGTCTGACCGTCGGTCTTGGAACCGAGAAGTGGGGATGTTTTATGCATGGATCCCGCGTTATGCATCATTCCAGGTGCATCTCGAACAGAACCCGTCGAACTCTGGTTCCGTGCAAAGGACACGTTACGCTCGATCGATGAAGTATTTCCGATAAAACGTCGGCCACGTTGAACTGACGCTGCGCTCGAAAAGTTAACGACAATTCCTTGTTGTACATCGCGAAAGTAAACCGATAAAGTGACCGTTACTTGCAAAAGTACGTTACGTGGATCGTCGAACAACAGTGACGTGGAAAAAGTAAATTTTCAAGTTGATGAACATCGGCGATATTCATTTTGAGCAATTTTTTAACGAACAATTGCAATTGAATCACGATGAAATACATCGTCGCTGTTTCATATCTCGAGATTGGCCTCGTATGGTTTTAAAATAGTCGTCGAATTAGCGTTCGAAAGCACATAAACAATCTTCTGAAATACGGGAATTGGTTGCGTGACGGTCGATCTTCGGCAACGGGGATGTTGGGTAGAAGCGCGCTGGTGGGGAAACACTCGAGGGAGAGTGGGGGCGTACGTTACGCAGGATTTAGGGTTCTACGTGGTGGTGAGGAGCCACGGCGGCACGGTACCGCGGTGGAGAAGCAACCGGCAGCAGCACCAGCACACACGGTTACGCCGTTGCGGAGACGTCTCGCTGCTCTCGGTCGGAGCAGTCTGCGGCGATCATCGGCCCACACGGTGTTCCGTATGGCCATGCGTCGTTCCAACTTTCCCGACACCGCACCAAAATTTCTCATCGACCCCGCGCGAAATTCCACCGGCGGCAACGTAATCGAGGACACTTCGAAAGCCACGATCGCCGAGCTACCAGACAACCGCCAACACGCCAGAGGACGAGACACCGCTTGCAGTATCTCGATCGTCGATCGACGGAAGCTGATCGGTTCTCGCACACACGACGTCGAGAGGACGACAAGAAGAGACGCGTCGTCTAGCCTCGCGAATTCCACGTTATCGGTCGATGCTTGCGCCGAGAGAATTTTCAACCGAACGAACATAACCTTACTCGATAGCAACAAACACCCGCGAAAGTGGCGTATAAGAAATAAACTCACTGTCGTCGTTCCCGACTGGAGTACCGAGTATCCTCTCTGCAATATCCTCGCTGCTTCGTCCAAAAAGTGCAGAGACAACGACATTTTTTGTGAAATCACAGGCAGCTCGAAACTCTCGGCCGGTGTTGTTAAACAAGCGCGAAGTACGTTCGACCGCTCGGTCGGTAGGAACTCTGTAAATACGACACTTGCCGAAAACAGCGTGTACACGACTGCCGCCATTGTTTTTCCTATCGATCTCGTATCGAACGACGTCACGACTATCGCACACGCACCCCGAACTTGCTACGTTTCGCACGCGGGAGGACCAACGTACGGTCCACCTATCGCTCCACAACTCGACGTTCGAGTCAGTGTTACTCTTGATTTCCACGCGAGCGCCGGCCTACCGGCTTACCAGCGACGATACATCGCAACGCTCCACTTCATTCGTTTTCGACGAACGTTCGTCGCTCCGCCGTTGCCACTGTCGTCTCGCGTCCGGGCCTGTCAAGCCAGCAATCGAGCGATCGATCGAGTCGAATTTTCTCGAAAATCGAATCAAACGCGATTGACGCCAACTGTCGGGCATCTTGTCGTTTGCGTCGCGTGAAGAAGAAACATTGAGAAAATGTTCAGTGTCGTAAATTTATGGAGTTTTGCTTCCGACCAGTTTCGTTCACCGCCGGAGAAACTTTCTGAAAATACTCGCGGAATACAACGCGTGTTCGTTGTTGAATAGCGATCTCGTATGATGAAATTTGTACTCGTCGGATCGGAGGGTGAACTTCGAGACAGAAATTCGAGCGTCGCGCTCGAGACGTTTCAGTTTCGCACACAAGTGGTCAAGTGAATCTTGCGCAAGAGGTACGATCGAAGAAACTTTGTCGTTGAACGAGGTTAAAGTGTTCGGTGCGTGTTAAATCGCGAGTCGTTCCAGCGACACGCACAACCGAGATAAACCGTTATCGAGAAGCATGTGTGCCGCGATCTGTATCGATTCGATAAACGTAATTCTTCCGTTATTTTTACGCTCGAAGAGAAATTGAATTGTCCGCGAGTTTTATATTTCATCAGCATCCTCTTCGTTATCAGACACGTGTGTCAACTCTTTATCCATGTGTGTTTTTTTTTCCTCACGAGGGGTCGAAATAACGGCGCTGAATCGTAATCGATCCTCGTTCCGTATGCCTAGTGTGACGTACTTTGTCGCGAAAACCACGGAATGAGGAAAAAACGTTTGGAATGGTTACGTAGATAGGCAACTGTCGATTGCTGTTACGCATTGAGAACAAGACTACTAGTGGCAGTTTCTCGTAAATGAGAGTAAAAAGATCGCCAGTGGCGCCAGTACTAACCTCATCAGATATATGGTGCAGTCGATATCGATGTAATTATTCAGAGCGACTTTACCGAGGAATACGTACCTGTTGCGTGACTACGAAAAAAAAGAGAAAGAAACATATCCCCGATATTGAAATTCTCTGAATTTGAACACACGATACATATATACATATATGTAATATACACGTGGAAGGAAATTAAGTGCTAGAACAGGAAATTCCGATTGGTAAATTCTGCAATTTATCGATACCTGGCGAGAGCATTTCATTAGAGGGATTAAAACGAACGTAACTGGTTTTGCAAGAAGATTCAGGGAACGTCTCGAGATGGATCAAAATATAAACCGAAGCTTCGAACATCGATCGACGCCAACGATGGATCGATGACAAACATTCTGCGTAATCTCATCGCGGCGATGGCCATCCCCTCGCTCACCATCTGAACGACACACCAGTCCAGTCGTCGGTCTTAGACGTATATAAAATAATCGTTATTATCAGCAGCGCTGGTCAACGGCAAGAGATAACGTGGCGAAGAAACCGAGCGACCCGGAGATCAGAAATCGCGATCGATCTCGAGAGAAAACGAAAATTTACAAGAGATCCGAACGCCGACTTCTTACCTGTGAATTCTATCGTCGCTGGGGGGCAGGTGTCCGCGAAGCATCGGAAGGAAGTATACCCCTCGTCGTTAGCGTCTTGTAGCGTCATACATCTTGGCAGTAATGCGCGCAAATTATGCGTCTCGCGCCTCTACGGAGCAACGGCCACTGAGAACCAACGAGAAGCAACGGTTGCACGTTTACACTCGCGGATAATCCAACATCCATCGATTCCCTTACCTTTCTCGCTTTTCGTATTCCCTTCTTGCTTTCTTCTTCCTTTTTTTTCCCACTTTTGCCCACTAGATCCTTTCTCCTCGCTTTCAACGTTAAAGAAACGACCGTTCGTTCGGACATCGCTCTGGGCATCGTTTATACTCGTGAAATTCGTCCATGTCTGCACTGCTCGACGCTAACGCCTCTGCGAGGCACGAGATGCATTCCTCATCTACGTGACGTGCTGTGTCTTTATGCCGCGTGAATCGTCCTGGCCCGGCGAGCAAGGTGCACGCACGTGTGACCGGTGTTCCTAACAGTTCTTCTCGTCGTTCGAGGAAGCCAGTTTCGTGATCGTGGTTGATTCGGCAAGCTCGCACGCCAAACGTGCCAACAAAATTCTGCATTGGATAATCCCAGTCCCTTTTGATACACATGGATAACGAAGTATTCAAAGTATTCGACGTTCTTCATTGCGGCAATTTCGAGAAGACAACGGAGACGTTGCAAAGAAAGTGAAAACGGCGCGATCGAACGTTTCCGAGGCGAGCAGGAAGAAGATCGTGAGACATCGGTGGGAATTTTGAACTGTAGACTGTAGCGACGCTCTGTCGGAGGACATTGCATTTAAAATTGACAACACATGGTGCAACGGGAACGCGTGTGGCCGGTGTCCGTTCGAAATCGAAACGTTGCAGAGTGAAACGTTTTCAGATATTGTTGTAAGACAGTGTCCTTCTGCCGAGGAACTCTTGTGACACTGTCGCGCACAGCCGTCAGTGAAAATATAGGAAACGTCGAGTATACCGTTATACCGAGGTTTTCTACCGAGGGATCGTTCGTTTGCCTAGATCTCAAAAAGTGAACACGGCACGCGTCGAAAGTACAATTACGACGGACTTCGATTGTTCTTAGGTATTACGAAAATCAGTATCGGCATATTTTTCGATAACAATTGACTCGAGATAAAATGTAACGTCGCATGAATAAATCGTGGATCGTTAGTGAAATTGTTCAGTGAAGAATTCAGAAAAGAACAGCGGCAACTTCGATTTCAAAAGTTTTAAGGATAACGTCGACATTTTCGGAGGCGACGACACTTGCCGCGAATGGTTTGCTGCAGAGTTTCGCGGGATATTCGGTTTGGTAAGTACCTGGCAATACATTTCCAATTCTTCTTTCCGTCATTAATTGTACTTTACAAATGATACAACGAAGAACGTTCGTGGCAGTTAGTCGATGTTATTCGACATACATGTTTTTACTTATTGAGATGTGAATATTTCACGAGATACGTGTCGAAGAATTTTTTGCTCAACGGAGTACATAAACGGTCGTTCAAATTAATGAAGAGCATTTCAATCAAAGATAGCGATATTCGTCAAAACAAAAGACGCATTGTTGTCGAAGTCTTGATTGAATCACTTCGTCTTGTAATTCTGTTATTGCAGAGCGGTGATATTTCGCAACTGATTGCAAATTGTGCCTTATAAAGCGTGGAAAAGCCATTCATTTGTACGCACGGAGATATGAAAAAATTATATAAAAATTCCGAACACGATGCGAACGCGTGGTAGACGTTCGTTCGTTGACTCCGTTTCCTCGAGTTTTGGTCGAGAATCTGCGTCCCGCATTGTTTCGCGTTATGATGCATCTTGTAGTTTAAAGCAGATTTTATGGGATCCGATTAGGGATCGACGAACGTACTATAGCGGACCCATAGTTGAAACACGATACTTTTAATCGTTATTTTGTCACAGCTCTTAATCTCAGCACTTGGAGTTCCGGTTGGCGCCAATAAAACATCCAAATACTCGCTCTCTCTCACTTTGATGTCAATTAAAGTTACTTCTATTATCATATCGAGTCAGAATTTTTACTAATATTGCTGGTCAGATGTTAGTTACTAAGGAACACGTTATCGGAAAAAGAAAATAGTTGATTTTTCTCCTGAGAGAATTTTCCCGACAAGATCAAAGTTTGTTACGATTATTCACCGAGATAAGTATCCTTTCACGAAACGCAAAACATTCACACGATGCTTTTATTGATTAACCATTACTCCACTTACGATGCCGCCATGCAGCGAAATTACCATGAATTAACATATACGATAAGAATGACGTTGGCAATTTATGTGTACCTGAAACGTATATAAAGCTATTCAATCGTATAGTCGTTTAGTATTGCGAAATTGCGGCGGACGCGTGGTACGTATGGAGACACTTCGACACAGTTTGATTTAAGCGTATACATGGACAAGCATAAAATTCTTCTACTCGAATGCGTTTCTACTCTCGGCATCCGGCTTTCTCGTTTCGTCTCTTCGTTGAACAAAATTTCAATTTAGAAGATCCATGTGTCAACCTATTGCCATTTAATATTTCAACATGGCACCACTACGATGCGACGATCTCCGTTCACAAAACCAAACCTTCAAACCTTCGTGCCCCGAAATGCAACCTCGAGACGCTAATTAAATAAACACGTTTAAGCACGTACGATTGATATCGTCGATAGTATCCGTTCAACCTGAATAAACACACGAAACGAGACTTATCACGGCGAACGCGGTGGGAAAAGAAGCGGCCGAAGGGAGGAGGCAAGATTCAGTGCACGTGCGAGCACTCCGCGTTCGCGCGCGTTCTCTCGATAACGATCGTCCGTTAATATCGGCAGAAGAAACAATAAATCGGCGCGCGTATCGAGGGAAGGGGCACGCGGGATTGTAAGTGGTAGATAGGAAACAGCGTGAAACGCGAGAGTGTAAATCGTAGTCTTACCGTTTCATCGCGAGGTACGCCCCGTTAACTCGCGGGTTAAACGTCAAACTCCGCCCATTTTTTTTTGGGGTGAGCAGCCAGATTTTGTTCTCCCTTTCGCCAAGATCGTCTTGCGCGCGTTTCTATCTTCGTCTCAAGCACGGTTCTTTCACGCGAGAAAGAAGGAGAGTAACGACCTATCCGCCGTTTCCCGATCGGGTTAAGCAAACAGCGACAGCTGGTTCTCACCTTTATCGCGATAATAGCTGTAATTTCGGCGGTCCTCGTCGTGACTCGCGTACGTGCGAGTCTTCAGATTGCAGACGCGTCGTTGGCTGATTGCATGGGCGCAGCTTCTTCGCGCGACCGCGCGATTTATTACGAGAACCTGTCCCACTCGTGCTGCTCCTCGATCGACACCGGCTGGTTGTTCCCTCGCTCGTAACATAGGCTGTTCCGTGAATTTGTTTGCGATCGGAAGGAGCAGCTTTTCGATCGTGTACCTCTTTTCTACGGTGTTTATTTGTGTCGTTACTGAGGTGCGGCATAGAGGGTGATCCGAAGAAAGGGACGGGTAATTTAGGGGCGTGTAGCGTTTGTTAAAGGAAGCAAAGGGTATTTCATCAGTGCGTTGAAGCAATCTTGGAAATTAATCTGAAAATTTAAATACCCTTCCTTCTTTTTTTTTTTTTTTTTTATCGCAACAAAAATTTGATCATCATCTTCGCCTCGCATTATTTGCTCCGAACTGTGTGTTTGTCGATGCACACCGATAGAGAAATAGTGTTCAGTTTAGTAGGTGTAAATTTTAATTGTCTTCGCGATTGTTCCCTTAGTAATTTAAATTTAGAAGAAGTATTTAACATTCAAGCAGTCTGTTAATCGCTCGGGTATTCAATTAACATTCGACTTCTTCCTGTCCTTCCAGACAGTTTTCGGCCTGTTTTGTTAATTCGATTTCGACATGTGACTCTTAATGAGCTGCCAAGTGAATCTTCTTGTCATGTTCCTTCCAAGGTTTTCATATTTTATCCAAGAAAGTTGTAACGTGGACATCGAGTTTCTTTTTTTTTTTTAAGTATTATTTCAAAATACTGGTTTTCGAGAACGGTCGTGCAGCTTATTGAACGAAGAAGTCTTGAAACTGAATCACCAAGGATTTTTCTGTTATCCATCACCGTGACGATCAACGGCTGCGAAAAACCGTGCCAGATTACTAATTAATCGATTACATTCAAGGGAAACTGGTGTCGTTTCTTATTAATTCACGAAGTTGTAATTTTATTTATTAGAAATTCCTTGCATAGAGGAAGCCTGTTGCTTGAACCGATGCACCCAACATCGAGTACCCAGCTCGATCAACGTGTTTCAGTCGTTTTGTTCGTCGTTTGCGCTGCGATGCTTGCGAAAGACAAGCGTGTACGCGAGAATGGACGCGTGTACCATGGTTGGGAAGAGGGGGCGGGGGGGGGGGGTAGGTTGGTTCAATGAAGTGCACATCCGACAAGCGTGCGTCTAGACGTCGAGGTTCGATGAGTAATGCTAATGTCGAATACACAGCGATAATCGGTGCTTTTGTACGGAAAACAAAACGGTGTATCCGCTAAAAATGACGCGTGATACTTTTACAAAGAGTTTGTTACATGTTGCAAAAAAGAACTCGTGCATTGTCACTACGAATCAGTTTAACTATTCAGACACTTGTGAGCGATAGTGTATATCTTACATCTTTCCTCCATTTAATTTAAATAAAATTCGACGTTCTTTTACGTAGATATCGCTCAACATCTCGTGCATTAAGAAGACATTGATAAAATTGTCTATAAATATTTATCGCTAATATATCTGCTCGTTAAGGATTCGAAAATAGTTTCAAGGATCGCTCGTGATTGAAATTATACAGCAGTACGTTGTACGAGAGAAATATCGTGGTATTTAATGTTCGACGATCTTGAACATTGAAGACAGCGGTGTAATTATCACCACGGAGTGCTTCACCAACGTTTTTATTGCATATTTATATAAATGATTATTCCGACTCCCCCTTTGCGCGGCTATGCGCTCTTCAAATTGGCTATTTAAACAGGAAAATCGAATTAGGCTTGACGATTAACACGCGCGTCGCTGGCCGCCGTTCGCGGGACACTAAATGTCGCGAGTTTGCCTGTTTACCTAACGATCATTCGTTTAACGTGGTCGGCTATCCACTTATTCTTAGTAACTAGTTCCGGTCGCGGAGCTATCTCGCTCTCTCGGGCTGCTTTTATTTTTAAAAGTTCAAAGCTACCGTAGTTGACCGTAGGAAACCCGAACCAGTAGTACCAAAACGTCCAAAGCACCGTGTACAGTTTACTTTCGTGGCCGTTTGAAGTGGCGCTCGATCGGTGCAGGACCAGACGCTCCAATAGTACACACGCCTTAGGAGATTCGATCTCAAAGAGTAGATTTAATTATCCGTGTACGAGTGAAAGTTTGGTTGGCACCCACGCGATAGACGAAATAATGAACGCGACGTTAACTTCCTGTCTGCGTGTCGTTCGAACGTATTCTTTAACCACTTGCGCTGGCAACTGATCGCGGACCATAACGAGTGGCCGAACCGTATACAATAATTCGTCGCTTTCTTTTCCTTTTGAACTCGTCGGTATAATATCACTGGATAGAAATGATTGAGAAGTAATGAATTTATTATTTGTTTTGCCCGGTTTATACTTGAATGTACTCAAAGCTGAAAAAAATATTGCAATTTTGGAACAAACAGTTCTCGACGTGCGTGGCACGTCATTCCGGGGCAAGAGGTGAATTTCGTACTTGTTCTCGCTCCACTTCGCTCCAGCCAAAAATTCCCGAGAACGAATTTAAACGTTGCACCTGCCACCCTCCACCGGATACGTGCAGCTCCACACCCATACGCGAACCCTGTCAAATTCGTTGTTGTCAGTCACATTGAAACTCCCCTCAAGTTCAATCTACCGAAACCTGCAAACCCGTTCTTCACAATGAGATCGACAATTTATCGACACGACGTACACGGCGAAAAAGTGGTTTCAGCGTAATCGTCACGGCAAAGTGACCGCGATGAAAACGGGGGAGGCGCGTTAGTCACGGCACGGGTTTGATGAAGTTGAACGAACGAAAGGAGGGAGGTCGAAGCAAGGATCGAAATTGGCTCGCCACTGGGAAATCAGCGTTTACCGTTTTCGCAGCCACTTCCGTTAGCGTAGATTCGGGCCAGCCTGTGAGGATGGCGGGGGGGGGGGAGGACACCCTGCGGACTGTCCATCTAATTTCGAATGATCCAACCGCGCCGGTTGTTTAGGCACGACGCGCGTCTGGCAACTACACATAGTAGTGGTTTGAGGAGTGAGAGCGTGTCGAGGGGTG